TTTAGTTGTTCTTTGTCATGGAAGTATTTCACTTCTCCATTAAACTTGAAAGAGAGTTTGCAGGATATATCAGTCAGGATTGGAATTTTTTTCTTGCAAGACTTGTGTACTTTCTTCCATGCTCTTCTTGACTTCATTGTTTGTGAAGAGAAATCTGTCGCTATTCTGATGGGCTTTCCTTTAAATATGATCTGTTTCTTTTCTCTAGCAGCTTTCAGTATATCATTCCTGTGCTGAATTTCTGGGATCTTGATTATTATATGCCTGGGTATGGTTTTAATTGGGTTGATGTTATTTGGAATTCTATATGCTTCAGTTACCTGAATGTCAGATTGTTTCCCCATGTTTGGGAAGTTTTCTGCTATTACTTCTGCCCATATTCTTTTTATATCATTTGTATTGACTCTTTCTCATTGATGCGTATTAGTCTTACATTGTTCATCTTTGCATTGTCTTGCAAATGTTGAATTATTTTTTCCTACATCCTACCTGTTTTTAAGAGATCCTTTCTTACCTCTTCACTAGCTGCAACAGTATCTTCATGGTCTATTTTCACTTTCATTCAAACAGTTTTGCCAGTTTGTGATTGAGGTTTTAATTTCCTGTATATCACTTTGCATCTGCTTCATGCATTCTATTTCTTTCCTATATTGCTCATTCAAGGATTCCATCATTTTTATATTTTCCTCTATATTTTTATCAGTGTCTTCTTTAGAAGCACTTAGTACTTCTTTCATTATAGTTATTATATCTTTTTTTTACTTCAGAAATTATTTCTGATCTGATTTCCTCTATACCTTTCTGCAGTTGTTTCTTACTTCAGATGCTATTATTTCAGAGATTTCAGGTATGTGATTTCCAATTTCTTCTATGCTATTGTCTCCGGCATTTGTTCTGGGTGGTCTTTGGGGCCTGAGAATGCATTTTGCTCCTTGTCTTTGTCATTTTGTATAGCACTGTCTTCTGACCTTTGATGCAGAGCTTTGGTACAGTTATTACCTTAACACCAGGTCCAGATGTACCAAGTTCAAACTCATCGAAGTGGGTGTGGCTTGGGTGTGGCTGCTGTTCTCCACTTCTTCTTGCTGCAGCCCTTGGAAGTGAACCGACTGTGCCACTCTGGCAAGATGTTCTGCTCCTGGATCAGCTGGGTGGGTCTTGCCTCTAGCCTCTCTGCAGGGAGTTCTGCCACAGTTTCCACACCAGGCCTGTCTGATGGAGGAAGTTTCATACACATGCCTGTCTGGGCACTGGCTAGAATGAGGACCCAGTGGGCCCCAGGTGGCCCCACTCACACATTGGGCCTGGGTGCTGGCTGGAATGAGGGTCTGGTGGGCCTGGGCTGCCCCAGACACATGTCGGGTCTGGGTGCTGGCTAAATTGACCTTTTAATTGAATGATTTTATCTATATATTCAGTATAATTATTCATATAACCACTTTACCATGTGGTTTGTTTTTGTTCTACTTCAAGTTCATTTTTTCTTATAAAATTAAGTAAAGTTTTTACTCCATTTCCTCCACTATTATCTTTGAAATTATAGACACTTCTACTATTCTTTTAGTGGTAATGGAGACTATAATAAATATTCTGGACATAATAAAATCTAATATTGCTTGATAGTATTGCCATTTCCTTAGTGCAAGGGTTTTTAATTCCATTTATCTCACCTGAATTTTACACTATTATAGTCTTGTATTAAAGCTTAAAGACATAAAGCCCAGAAGATAATGTTAATATTCCTTTGGTAGTCAGTATTCATTTAGATACATTTTATAGTTATGAATGTATTGCTTTTTTATGTTTATTCAGTGTAACATTTCCCATTTAGCTGCATTAAGTGTGCAATTCAGTGGCATGGACTACGTGCCAAACGCTGTGCTGCCAGGACCACCCTCCAGCTCCGAAACGTACTCATCATGCCAGACACAAACTCGGCACATAGTCAACAGTAAGTTCTCGTCCCTCTATCCTGACCAGGTACCTCCTGTCACACTTCAGAATCTAGTGAATGTGCATGTTCTAGGTACCTCCCACAAGTGGAATCATACAGTAATTTCTCCTTTTCTGCATGGCTTATTTCACTTTGCATGATTTTTTTATGGTTGAAAGCTTATGTTGGAATTATAGTTATTTATAAAGTTGTATACTATTTGAGGGAGGTTGGTTCCTAGAACCCAATGCACATACAAAACTCTGCTAGTGCTCAGTTCCTTTTATAAAATGGTTTAGTATTTCTGTATAACCTACACATATTCTGCCATATTCTCTAAATCATCTTTAAATTATTATAGTATCCAATAAAATGGAAATGATATGCAAATAGGTGCCATATTTGTTATTTATTTATTTATTGGATACAGGGTCTCATTATGCAGTTCAGACTCATAGTGAACCTAGCATGGCATGTGGTATCACAGGGGATCAAATTTCAGCCCTTGCGCTGGTCAGGCGGGCACTTAGACCACTGAGCTATCTCCCAACCCCAATGCCGTATTCGTTGTTAAGGAGATAATGACATGAAATAGTCTGTACCTGTCCAATACATACACAATTTTTTCCTGAATATTTTCTCTCCTCATCTGGTTGAATCCTGGACGTGGAACCCAGGGATGCAGAGGGCCAACAGTTCTACATGTTGCTCACCTGTTCTATCTGTTCATGAACATTTGTGTTGTTTCTACCTTCTGAATATCATGGTTAATGTTATGAGCATTAGTGTCAAGTCTTTGTTTAATTTCCATCTTTCAATTCTTTGGGGTATATACCTTATTATGGATTTAATGTTTGTGTGTTCCCAGAATGTGTATCTTAACCCAGCGTGGCTATATTTGGAGAAGGGCCTCTAAGGAAGGAGTTCAGTTAAACAAAGATGAAAGGTTGAGCTCAGTTTGATAGAATTAATGTCCTTACAAAAAGAGATACCACTGACAGGATTGTGTAATTTTTGTCTTTGGTTCTGTTGATATAGTGTGTTATTGATTTGCATATGTTGAGCCATCCTTGCATTCGTGGGATGAATCCCACTTGGTCATGGTGTACAATCTTCTTGATGATTTGCACATACAAAACTCTGCTAGTGCTCAGTTCCTTTTATAAAATGGTTTAGTATTTCTGTATAACCTACACATATTCTGTGTGCTAGTAGTTTATTGAGGATTTTTGTATCTATGCTCATTTAGGCAGATGGGCCTGAAATTCTCTTTTTTGGTTGGGTCTTTCTCTGGTCTTGGTGTCACAGTAATAGTTGTCTGCAGAAATGAGTTAGGGCGAATGGCTTCCTTTCAATGTCATTAAAGAGTTTGAGGAATATTGGCAATAAATCTTCTCTAAATTTCTTGTAGAATTTAGGTGTCAATTCACCAGCACCAAGGCTTTTCTTTGTTGACAAGTTTTAAATTCATTTTCAGTTTCATTAACTGATATTGGGTGATTCAGAATTTTCATATCTTCATTCAGCTTGGAATCTGTCCATTTCATCTGTGTTTTCCATGCTATGAGAGTAAAGATTTTTGAGGTAGGTGTTGATGATAGTTTGAATTACCTCAGGGTCTATAGTGATTTCACTCTTTTCATTCTTTATTGCATGAATTTCAGTGTTCTGTTTCCTTGTTTTGCTAAGGTTGGCTAGGGGCTATTCTTTCAAAGAATCAACTCTTCGATTCTTTCTTTGTATTGTTTTATTCACCTCAACTGTGAAAATTTCTGCTTTACTCTTTATAATTTCCTCCCTTCTTTGGGCTTTGGGCTTGATTTGTTCTTTTTCTAGAAGATTAAGGTGTAGCATTAGGTTATTTTGGGGGGATTCATTCTGTTTTCCTGATGTGAGAATTCACTGCTATAAATTTCTCTCCTAGGACTGTTTTCATTTCATCCCACAGGTTCCAGTAAGTTGTGTTTGCATTTTCCTTTGATTGTAGACATAGTTTAATTTCTTGTTTAGTTTTATCTGGTTGCTTAGATAAAATTGGTTGCTTAGGAGAGTGTTACTTAATTTCCATGTGCTTATGGACTGTTTGCAGTTTCTTTTGTCATTAATTTCTCATTGCACTATGGTCAGATAATATACACAGGATAATTTTAATTCCTTTGCATTTATTTAAGCATGTTCTATGGACTAGTATTGTCTATTTTAGTGAAAGTCCAGTGTGCTGCTGAGAAGAATGTGTATTCTTATATTGTTGGGTGGGACACTCTGTAAAAATCTACCAAGTCCATTTGTTCACAAGATTGACTCAGTTCTGTTATTTCTTTGCTCATCTTTTGCCTAGTTGAAAAAGAAAACTTTCATTGTTGGTAGGAGTGCAGACTGGTATAACCACTGTGGAAATTAGTGTGGAGACCTCTCAAAAACTAGGATTAGAGGTCCCATTTGACCTAGTTATTCCCTCTCTGGGTATTTTTCCAGAAGAACTGAAAACATCATACCACAGAGGTCTATGTGCACCCATATTTATAGCAGTGCAATTTGTTTTAACTAAATCTTAGAAACAACCCAAATGCCCGTCAACGGAAGAATGAATAAAAAAGACATGGTATTTTTATACAATCAAGTACTAATCAGCTACAAAGAAAGATAAACTCGAGGCTTTTATGGATAAATGGGTACAACTAGAGACCATACTCATAAGTGAAATAAATCGCATGTATAAACATCATATTGTCTCCCGAGTGTAAGAAACTGGAAGAGTAAATAAGATCCAAAAGGTACAGTGGATATTGTGACAGGGAAAGAAACTGCTCAAAAGGAAAGAACAACTGGGATGGGGCAAAGGACAAAAGAAGGAAGAGAAAAGGAAAAATAATATT